TATTCAAACAGCATTACATGTGGAATGTGTGTGTCTCGTCATGTGCCATCACTATAAGGGATTAGAGTATACTAAACTTTACACATTGTATAGGCTACACTAACGTGACGTTTAGGTGGTTTGTTTAAGTATTGTATGTGATGTACGTGTTTTGAGGAGTGGTTAATGAAAATGTTCCAAAACGTGATATTAATTTTTTAACGACTTGATAGTTAATTAGTGTTTGGCCAAGATTGTAAATATTGTATCTGTTTGTTTGATGTTAGAAACACAGTTCTTGGTTGAGATTCATATGTAGTTAACTAGTATTTATGTAAGATTCTCAACAATGTGTTTTTGTCGTTGTTTTATGTGAGAAACACAGTTCTTGGTTGGGATTCATATGTAGTTAACTAGTGTTTATCTAAGATTGTAAATATTGTATCTGTCTGTTTGTTTGATGTTAGAAACACAGTTCTTGGTTGAGATTCATATGTAGTTAAATAGTGTTTATCTAAGATTGTAAATAATGTATCTGTCTGTTTGTTTGATGTTAGAAACACAGTTCTTGGTTGAGATTCATATGTAGTTAAATAGTGTTTATCTAAGATTATAAATAATGTATCTGTCTGTTTGTTTGATGTTAGAAACACAGTTCTTGGTTGAGATTCATATGTAGTTAAATAGTGTTTATCTAAGATTATAAATAACGTATCTGTCTGTTTGATGTTAGAAACACAGTTCTTGGTTGAGATTCATATGTAGTTAACTAGTGTTTATCTAAAATTGTAAATATTGTATCTGTCTGTTTGTTTGATGTTAGAAACACAGTTCTTGGTTGAGATTCATATGTAGTTCACTAGTATTTATGTAAAATTCTCAATAATGTGTTTTTGTCTTTGTTTTATGTTAGAAACAGGTTTTGGTTCAGATTCTGATTCCTATCTGATTGTCAAGGGTTTAACTACTTTATCTGTTTATGATGTTAAACGCATTGTTTAGTTTCAATTTTGATTATTGTATTTTTTGTTAACATTTGTTGAATCTTGTTTTTGTTTGAGATTTTCATTATTGTATTTTCATCTGTTTAAATGCATTCTGTATTTGAAATTTTTTTAGTGTATATCTGTCAAACAAGTAGATTTAAATGTTATTTTTGATCTAGATTTGTACCTGTGTTTAACATGTATTTGACCCAGATTTTTATCTGTGTTTAATGTGTATTTGACCCAGATTTTTATCTGTGTTTAACATGTATTTGACCCAGATTTTTATCTGTGTTTAACATGTATTTGACCCAGATTTTTATCTGTGTTTAACATGTATTTGACCCAGATTTTTATCTGTGTTTAACATGTATTTGACCTAGGTTTGTACCTCTGTTTAACGTATACTTTTTGGAACATTATCTCAGGTTGATATTTTTGAGCTTTTAATCTATAATTACATTTATATTTTTATAATGATACTTTCATTCTGTTTCAGTTTTAAACCAAAGAACTGCACTGGGGAATTAAAGCTACCATTTTTGACATTGTACATAGTTTCAAAGTATAAGGTCTAGCTAATGATGTATGGATTTAAATGTATAATCTTGTGCCACAGTTAATATAGATAATTTATGTAAACACAAAACATTATAGTTGTTAGAATAAAAATTATTCAAACTTGAGTGATAATTTAAGGATGGAAAATAAATATTTATTGAAAAAATGTATTTATTAGTCTTTTAGTATATATCACGTGGATCAAAGCAGTAACTTTTACTAAACATAAATTGTATTGTTTCCAAACACATCTTTCATTTTAGATAGTGGAACTGATAGATGTCCACCAGGTTGTCATTATCCAAGGTAGTACAGGCTGTGGGAAAACTACACAGGTACCCCAGTATATTCTTGACCATTGTGCTGAAAAAGGACGTCACTGTAGCATTGTTGTAACTCAGCCACGTAAGATAGCTGCCACATCCATTGCTCGCAGAGTTTGTCAGGAACGTAATTGGGAGTTAGGATCTATATGTGGCTATCAGGTATAAGTTATTAGAATTAACACTATATAATAAAGTTTACTCATAGTGTGCACTAGATGGGCCACAGGTTCTTGATTACTATTAGTGTTCACTAGATGTGCCAGAGGTTCTTGATTACAGTTAGTGTGCACTAGATGGGCCAGAGGTTCTTGATTACAGTTAGTGTGCAGTAGATGGGCTACAGATTCTTGATTACTATTAGTGTTCACTAGATGGGCCAGAGGTTCTTGATTACTATTAGTGTTCACTGGATGGGCCAGAGGTTCTTGATTACTATTAGTGTGCACTAGATGGGCCAGAGGTTCTTGATTACTATTAGTGTGCACTAGATGGGCTACAGATTCTTGATTACTATTAGTGTGCACTAGATGGGCCAGAGGTTCTTGATTACTATTAGTGTTCACTAGATGGGCTACAGATTCTTGATTACAATTAGTGTTCACTAGATGGGCCAGAGGTTCTTGATTACTATTAGTGTGCACTAGATGGGCTAGAGGTTCTTGATTACTATTAGTGTGCACTAGAGGGGCTAGAGATTCTTGATTACTATTAGTGTGCACTAGATGGGCTAGAGGTTCTTGATTACTATTAGTGTGTACTAGATGGGTTAGAGATTCTTGATTGCTATTAGTGTGCAGTAGATGGGCTAAAGGTTCTTCATTACTATTAGTGTGCAGTAGATGGGCTAAATGTTCTTCATTACCATCAGTGTGCAGTAGATGGGCTAAATGTTCTTCATTACCATCAGTGTGCAGTAGATGGGCTACAGATTCTTGATTACAATTAGTGTGCAGTAGATGGGCCAAAGGTTCTTGATTACAATTAGTGTGCAGTAGATGGGCCAAAGGTTCTTCATTACTATTAGTGTGCACTGGATGGGCTAGAGGTTCTTGATTACTGTTAGTGTGCACTAGATGGGCTAGATGTTCTTGATTACTATTAGTGTGCACTAGATTGGCTAGAGATTCTTGATTGCTATTAGTGTGCAGTAGATGGGCTAAAGGTATATATGTGTATATACGTGTTGACTGTTTAAAATTAACATAATGAATGTATGTTATTGTTGAATTAACATTGTATACATGCTAACTGTTTAAAATGAACAGTGTGAATGTTGGTTATTAGTGAATTAACATTCTATATATGTGCTCACTGTTTAAAATGAACAGTGTGAATGTTGGTTATTGGTGAATTAACATTGTATACATACTAACTGTTTGAGATGAACAGTGTTAATGTTGGATATTAATGAATTAACATTGTATACATGCTCATTGTTTAAAATGAATAAAGTGAATGTTGAATATTAATGAATTAACATTGTATACATGCTAACTGTTTAAAATTAACAGAATGAATGTTGGTTATTGGTTAATTAACATTGAATACATGCAAACTGTTTAAAATGAACTCACTGAATATTGGTTATTAATGAATTAACATTGTATACATTCAGTGTTTAAAATGATCAGAGTGAATGTTGGTTATTAGTAAATTAACATTGTATACACAGTGTAGTCACAAGTAAATAGACACCACCTTTTCAGAAAAAATGAAATTTTTCAGTCATATTCACATCAATTGACATATTTATAATTTAGTTAATATCTAGTAGATCTTCCCTTCCCTTCGTAGAGTTTGTTGATCCTTTGGGGAATCGTGAGAATCATCTCGTCAATTTTAGATTGTGGGATTTTCGCCTATTCTTACTTCAAAACTTGGAGTAGATCGCTCTTCGAATTTGGTTTTTTTTGTTGTTTCTTGACTTGCCGGTCGAGTATGGCCCAGAGGTTTTCGATGGGGTTCGTGTCAGGAGATTGGCTCAGCCAGGGCAACTTCTGGATACCATCTTCTTCCTGCCACTTTTGGGTGTTTCTAGCAGTGTGACATGGTGCTCCATCTTCCTGGAACAACGTTGTGTTCTTGTCCACAAAACCCAAGGAATAAAGTGGCAAGAGTCCTTCCTCCAATATTTCGACGTATTTCGCAAAATTTGTGTTGCCAATGCACTCCACTAAACTCGATCTCCCACCAACCCAAACAGCTCCCTAAACCATCATGCTGAAACCACCATGTTTCACAGTTGGCTGCAATCTGTTAAGCCAAAACTCTTAGTGAGGCATTCTCCAGACCCATATTCTTCCACTGTCCAAAGATTGAGTGAATCTTGATTCGTCTGAGAACAATACGGTCTTCCAAAAGTCCAGAGGCTTGGTCATCATATCACTTGCCCACTTCTTTCGTCTAACTATGTTGGCAGGTCTTAATAAGGGCTTCTGTCTAGCTGCTCTGCAACGATAACCCAATCTGCGGAGAATCCGTTGAACAGATTTCGGGCTCTTCCCACCAACATTGGCCATTTCTGCAGTCATTAATCTGGGTTCCATTTCGATGCTTCTCTTGACAGCCCTTTTTGTCCTCTCCGATGGACCAGGACGACCCGGACGCTGCTCAGTTGTTTCCTTGCCGTGTTTCCTGAACTGCATGATGATTCTGTTGACTGTCGAAAGAGAGATTCCCAAATTCTGTAAAATTTGCCACTGACTTATTTCACCATCTGCTTGACCAGCTATCCTTCCTCTAACAAAATCTGACAATTCAAGAGAACCTTGAGTTCTAGGCATATTGT